GACGTCAGAGGTAGGTTCTTTATTCAGATAGTGGTAGGGGCATGGAAAGCATTGCTGGAGAGGGTGGTGGAGTCGGCCTCATTAGGGGCATTTAAGCTGCTATTAGATAGGCATATGGATGATAGTATAAGGTAGGGGTGGAGGTTAGATAGACCTCAGGTTTAGGGTAAAAATTTGGCACAACATCATGGGCCGAAGGGCCTGTACTGTGCTGTACTGTTCTATGTTCTATGTTTTAGGTAAAGTTGCCATCGTCTTACCAGACCATAGGCTGCTTTCTTGTTAGATAGAGATAACTAATGGTGGTTTAACCTGGACTTTTCCAGAATCTAAAAATTCCTGGAGGTTTAATACCAATGCATTCAGTATCTCTGTAGCTACTTCTTTTGACATCTTAGGATGCATCCCATTGGGTCCAGGGACCTTATCAATCTTTAGCCCCCATTAACTTCCCTTAGACTTTTTCAGTAGTGATAGTTATTGTTGTTATTTCCTTTTGCCCTTTGATTATTCAGTACCTTGAGATGCTATTGGTGTGTGGTACTGTGAAGACTGATGCACAGTTTCATTCAACTCTTCTGCCACTTCCTGGTTCCCTGGATCCTCAACTATTTCTGCTGCTAAACTCCTTTCCCAGCCCATTATAGCCAGCTCTGCCCTCATTTCTTTGCAATTACCATTGTTTAGCACAGTTGCTTCCAACCCGAGTTCCTTCCTCTCAAACTGTTAAATTCTGTGATATTATGTCACTGTTTCTAAGTGGATCCTTTACTCTGATATCATTTTATTAAACTTGCCTCATTACACATCACCAGATCCAAAATAGCCTGATCCCTGGTTGGATCTACCACATTATGTTCTAGGAAATTGTCCTGAATACACTCTGAATTCTTCCTTATGGCTTCCTCTGCCAATCTGATTGTCTCAATCTACAAGAAGATTAAAGTCACCCATGATTTACCTACTCTTTGTTACATGCCCTCATTCTTTCCTGATTTATTCTATATTCCACCATTCTAGTTACAGTTAAGGGGCCTGTAGACTACTCCTGCCAGTATCTTCCTGCCCTTTTTATTTCTTATCTTCCATCTGGATTCTACATCTTCCAATTCAAGATCATTTCTTGCTATCATACGTAGTCTATCCCATACCAGCAATGCTATTCCACCACACTTTCCTTTCATCCTGTCCTTTTAATAAGTCACGTAACCTGAACATTTAGTTCTCATCTTTGATCTCTTTGTAACCATGTCTCTGTAATGGCTATATGATCATACCCATTAACCTGGATTTGTGTGGTTAATTCATCTATTTTGTTTCAAATACTAATTCCAAATACTACACACATTCAAATAAAGAGTCATTAATTTTGCCTTTTTACCAGTATTTCCACTTTTAACCATATTTACTGCTGTTTTTCTATGTTTGTCTCCTCTGGTCCATCCTGTCCCAATTTGGATTTCATTATCCAATTAGCTTCTCTGTCATTCTGCCAGATCCTCTTACTTTATAAGTCTACATTTCTCCTCTCCCAAACTCTTACACTAACTAGCCTATTTTTTAAAAATTAAAACTACTCGCCTGTTTATCTCCCTCCCTATTCAAATAAGTGTGTCAAGGGCAGTTTTCCAATATTCTTAAAAAAATTTTCTGTAAAGCTTCTTGGAAGATTACTATCAGTACATTCAGTTTGTCTGTCGTTACTTCCTTCAACATTTTAAAATTTCTTGCAAGTTTGCCTTCATAATTTATTTTATTTTTTTGTGGTCTTCAATTTTATTGTGATATTGAAAATGAAGTGTTTCCCCAAGGAAATCATACAAGTCTTTAGATAAAAACAGAAAGTATACCTAATGTCACCCTCACTCATTTGGTTCAAGTGTAATTATTTCTGCCTTAAAACCATTTAACGATTCTGTTTATACCACCCTTTTGAGGAGAGAATTCCAAAGACTCATGACCCTCTGTGAGGGGAAAAAAAAACTCCTTATCTCTGCCTCAAATGGGCGACCTCTTATTTTTAATAGCACACCCTAGGTTTCCCTCTTCTCGCAAGAGGAAACATCCTTTCCACTGCGATCCTGTGAAGACCCTTCAGGATTTTGTATGTTTCAGTCAAGTCACCTTTTATTATTCACTGGAGTTAGAAGATTATAATTACATGAGGGAGAAAAGCAAGTTTTCGCTGCCACTCGAACACAGACCATTTGTGTAGCTGATGGTGGAAGAACCAGATATTTATCCTTTGGGTGAGCACTGGTGATGTAAAGGTGCTGTACAATTGATTGGCTAATGAGGTATGGATTCTGGATTGATGAACTAAGATCAGAAAAATGACCTTTTTCTTTTGTATAGTCTTTTAGTCTTGCATCCAGATATTAGCATTTTATTGAATTACATAGGAGCAGAAGGAGGTCATTAGGCCCTTTGATCCCGCTCCACCATTCATCATGATCATGGCTGGCTGTTCAACTCAATAGCCTAATCCTGCTTTCTCCCCATAACCTTTGATCCCATTCACTCCAAGTGCTATTTCTAGCTGCCTCTTGAATACATTCAATATTTTGGCATCAACTGCTTCCTGTGGTAATGAATTTCACAGATCACCACTCTTCGGGTGAAGAAATGTCTCCTCATCGTTGTCCTAATTGACCAAGTTTAGGATGGTTCCTTGGTTAGGCAGCCTCTGACTAATCAGCATTATATACAAAATAATGAACTACAGTATTGGTTTAACTTAACAGAGTATTAAATAAATTGTTTCACAATACACTTTTAAGTGATTGTGTTGCTTTGTAGATAAAAGTTAGAAATTGTGTCACTGTGTCTCTGCTTTTTCCTGGCTAGATTTAAAATAAAACAAACCTCTACAAACAGTCGTTTTTTTAAAAGCGTTGTTGCTAATTGGGTTAGCTACTACAATTACACAATTTCAGCAGTCTACCAAATGGGATGAAAATAGTCTATACCTTGGAAGCATGAAAGACCCCATCTTGTATCAATTCACACCAACCTGAAACTTTTCAAATGTTTCTGGAATGGGGCATCAAAATGCAATTACTTGTTTGGAAATAATAACTGTTGGTGACATTAATTAATAGAATCTTTCTGGGATGAATAGAGAACTTCGACGGCTCTTTACTAAGAAGGAAAGGGGTTAAGACAATGTTGTACTAAAGAAAGGTTGAGTGGTTGTCTCGCTCTCGCTCTTGCTTTTTGGAAGTGGTGTAACTGAATCTTCAAAAGCAATCATCACTGATAGAAACAACCACATCCAGGTGAATAGCTGAACAGAATGACCACAAAATCGAACTCACCGCATCAAGTCCAGCAAAGAAGCAGTTAAATGTTGACCCCTTTGTTTTAACTTTTAGTGGCTTATAGTGACTCATAGTCTATCTTCTTACTCTGCCAACTATACTTGTGCATGCGTGGGCCCAGATTTGTGTGACTGTATGAATGGCGTCACATCACTTGATTTTTTTTTATTTTGGAACAATTTCAATAAATTTATGATTTTTGTTGAAATTAAGGAGATGTGAAATTCTTCATTGCCTCAAAATTAAAATAATGGAATACTTACAGAACTGGCAAAATGCATTCTCTTTACATTCTAAAGCACAAATCTGTTGTAATCAAACAAGTAGTGGAAGGATAAGGTAACGTAGTCATCTCATCCCTTTTCAACTGATCGTAACAGTTCTCATGGACAAATTTTCATCAATTCAATTCAAATGTGTTTGAATGGATGTTGAGTAGAGTAGGACAGTTTGTGTGAAACAAGGAGAGGCTCATGATTTGCTTTCTTCCTTGTAAAGATTTATACTTAATTTTTGAAATGGAATAATTCCATCTCGAATACACGAGGGTGAAATTGGTTATCGACAGAAAAAATAAACAGATGAAAATAAAAATTGCTGGAAAAGCTCAGCAGGTCTAGCAGCATCCGTGGAGAGAAATCAGTTAACATTTCGGTAGAGTGGATTGGTTAGGCCACTTTTGGAATGCTGTGTGCAATTCTGGTCTTCCTGCTATAGGAAGGGTGTTGTGAAACTTGGAAGGGTTCAGAAAAGATTTACAAGGATGTTGCCAGGGTTGGAGGGTTTGAGCTATAGGGAGAGGCTGAGGGGTGACCTTTATAGAGGTTTATAAAATTATGAGGGGCATTAATAGGGTAAATAGGCCAGATCTTTTCCCTGGGGTGGGGGAGTCCAAAACTAGAGAGCATAGTTTTAAGGTGAGAGGGGAAAGATTTAAAAGGGACCTTAAGGAGCAACTGTTTTACGCAGAGGGTGGTGTGTATAAGGAATGAACTGCCAGAGGAAGCGGTGGAGGCTGGTACAATTACAACATTTAAAAGGCATCTGAATGGGTATATGTTTAAGAAGGGTTTAGAGAGATATGCTGGCAAATGGGACTAGATTTTATCTAGGATATCTGATCAGCATGGACGAATGGGCCCGAAGGGTCTGTTTCCATGCTGTACATCTCAGAGTTCTGAGGAAGGGTCACTCAATCCAAAACATTAACTCTGATTTCTCTCAACAGCTGCTGCCAGACCTGCTGAGCTTTTCCAGCAATTTCTATTTTTGTCTCTGATTTACACCATCCACAATTCTTTTGGTTTTTAACTAAACAAGTGGCAATGACTTGGTGGTCAGCTGTACACCTTGTTCAATATTCTTCTCCATTTTAATGATTTGATCTTGTCCCTTTGTCTGACTACTTGAGATGAATTCCAAGCCTCAGTTTATTTGGACACTTGTCACCAGTGTGAACAATATTAACATAATTCTTTAAATCATTTTACTCAAACACGTGTATAAAGAAATAGTGAAATAATTTTAGAAGTAAATGCCTGAAAAATCTCTAATTTTCTAAGTTATGATCCAGTGAGAAAACTGTAATTTCAGGAAACTGAGAGTTAAGAAAACCAAATGCAGAATTGAGTCAAGCATGGAAGAAAATTTAGTAATATAGACATATCTACTTCAAATGGGTTTCTCATACAGTTTACACTTCTGTACTGAGCACAGTCTTCTTCACTTAAATCTATAGATCAGTCAGTAGGTTTCCAGTAATCTGTTTTGCAAGCTGCAGGAGGCTTGAAACTTCATGCATTAGCTTCATGTTTCTTTACAAAGGAAAGAAATTCGTCAACATCATCAGGTGATCCCATAATGAGAGGAACCCGTTGATGAAGAGACTCTGGCTTCACATCAAGTACTAGCTGGGTTCCTGTAGTGGCTTTTCCACCAGCCTGTTCCATTATAAAGGCCATTGGGTTGCATTCATACAGAAGGCGAAGCTGTGGTTAACAAACAATATATTTAAATTATTTATTAAAACATTTACCATAACACAGATATCAATTATTATAATATGTAGTAGTGAGCTTGAAGCATATTATTAAGTTCAACGAGGAGATAATGAGAGATTCAGGTTATTCCTGGTAAGTGCTAGTATATCAGGGTACATGAAATGTTTGGAACAAGAGCTGGGCAGTAAGACAATTGAATCTATCTACCATTCAATTAAGACTAAAAAAGATTTATATTGCAATTAAATTTGCACACCTTAATTCACCATTCATTGACATCCTTTGCCTAGCCTACATTCTATCACAGTAGCCAAAATCAACAACAGCAGCCTTGTCTTTGACATTGGCACAAAAATATTATTGATTCATTTGTGTCCTCACTAATATAAATTGCCATCCTTTACTTGAATAGAAACTTGAAGAGAACCATCTCCTTCAGTGGTTCTTGGCTTCCATATGTTGTAGATCTCATTTATATTGCAGCAATGCTGATGAAGTCAAAGCTACTATCAGTGGTGAATTGAAATGGCTCTGTAATAATATAAGCAACAACTGTCAACCGAGTGTTGTAATGAGAGAACAGATTATGAATGACTGCCCTTGCAATCTAGGCAGTGTTTGATGTGAGTGTGGCATCAAGGAGCTTTAGCAAGGTAGAATTCAATGGGAATCAGTGGAAAGCTCTCTACTGGTTGGAGTCATACCAAGCGCAAAGGAAGAAAGCTGTGGTTGTTGGAAGTCAATCATACCAGCCACAGGAGTTCTTCACATTAGTGTCCTTGCCCCAACTTTATTCTTCTCCTTAATCAATGGCCTTCCTTTAAGGTCGGAAGTGGGGATGGTTTGCTGATGATTGTACAATATTCAGCACAATTCACAACTCCTTACATACTGAAGCAGTCAATGTCCAAATGCAGCAAGACATGGATAACTTCCAATCTTGAGCTGAGCAGAAGCAAGTAACATCTGTGGCACACAAGTGCCAGGTAATGACTATCTCCAACAAGCTAGAATATAACCGTTTTTCTTGACATTCAATGGGATTGCCATCGCTGAATTGCAAACTACCAACACCTGGGGGTTACAATTAACCAGAAACGTAATAGAACCGGTCAAGTAAATGGTGTGGCTAAAAGGATAGAACAGGGACAAGGAATTTTACAGACAGTAATTCACTTCCTGTCTCCCCAGAGCCTATCCACCACCTACAAGGCGCAAGTCAAGAGTGTGATGCAAACTCTCCACTTTCTTGGATGGATGCAGATCTGGAAACACTCCAGATGCTCACCATCCTCCAGGAGAAAACATCCCACGTGTTTTAAACCTCATCAAATGCCTTGAACATTAATTCCCTCCACCACCAATTGACAGTGACAGCAGTGTGTAACTTCTACAAGATGCCACAATTTATCAAGGATCTTTAGACAGTCCCTTCTAAACCTGCAACGTCTAACATCTACAATGACAAGAGCTGTAGCAAGAGCAGTAGATACATGGGAGCACTATAACTGGCAAGTTTCCCTTCAAGCCACACACAATCTTAACTTGCAACTATATTGCTGTTCCTTTACTATTGCTGGGTCAAAATCCTAGAACTCCCTTTCTAATAGCTCTGTGATATACCTGTCCCTGATGGACTGCAGCTGTTCAAGAAGGCAACTCACCACCACCTTTTCAAGGGAAATTAGGGATGGGCAATAAATGCTGGCCTAGCCACATTCCATGAACAAAGAAAAGGACAGGATTGCTAATGACAGTTTGTAAGAAGGTGTGGGAAAAATTACCGCAATCAGAAGTATAAAAACACCAGTGAAACAAAAGCACTCATACTCCAGTGGCTCAGTGAGTTAACATAACACCTGATGCGGTAAGAAGCCACATAATTTGGAAAGGATGCAGTTTCATGGTCTGTGCTAAATTGGCTGATCTCAGATAGTACAGATAGATTAATTGGCCATGTCCTGGTAATGGAAACGAATGTTCAGCCAGGATGAAATCTGGAACAAAAACAGAAATTGCTGGAAAATTTCAGTAGATCTGGCTGCAACAGTGGAGAGAAATCAGAGTTAATGTTTTGTGTCCAGTAACCCTTCTTCAGATTGATGGTACCAAGAAGGATGATTTTTATACAGAAGATTGGGGGGGGTGATGGTGGGAGTGAGGTGGAGAGTAAATGACAGGTGGAGAAAGACAGAGAAAAACAGATGGACGGCCAAAGGAGTGGTTAAACGTCAGTCTGGGGGTGGATGAATAGCTGCTAATGTGGATAATTAGTGGCTGGCAATGGGTAGTGTGTATTAACAGCCCAAGTAATGATGAACACTATTGTGTAGCGGTGGGGAAAAGCATGGGGAAAGGTGCTCAAGCCCTAAAATTGTTGAACTCAATATTAAGTCCAGAAGGCTGCAGCGCTCCCAAGCTGAAAATGAGATGCTGTTCTTCTAGCTTGTGCTGAACCTTGCTGAAGAACTGCAGCAAGCCTGAGACAGAGATGTTGGCCAGGGAACACATGGGTGTGTTTAAGTGGCAAGTAACTGGAAGCTCAGGGTCTGTTTTGTGGACAGAGCTTAAGTGATCTGCGAAGCAGTCACCCAGTTGACACTTTGTTTTCCCAACGTAGAGGAGACCACATTGTCAGCAGCGAATACAGCAGACTCGATTGAGTAAGGTGCAGGTAAAGAGCTGCTTTACCTGCAAGTTGTATTTGGGAACTTGGATGGTGAGGAGAGAGGAAGTATACAGGCAAGTGTTACACCTTCTGCGATTGCCGGAGAAGGTGTTGTGAGGGTGTGGGGACGTGTTGGGAGTGAAGGAGGAGTGGACTAGGATGTTCTAGAGGGAATGGTCCTTGCTGAAGCCTGACAAGGGAAGGGAGGGGAATATGTGTCTGATGGTGACATCCCTTTGGAGGTGGCAGAAATGGCAGCCAATGATTCTCCAGGTTCAGATACTGGCGGGATGGTAGGTTTGGACAAGGCGGGCTCTGTCGCTGTTGTGGGAGGGAAGACGGGCAGTGAGGGCTGAAGTGCGTGAGATGGGTTGGACCTGGGTAAGGGTCCTATCAATCACTGTACTGGGGAATTCTCGGTTGAAGAAGAAGATGGACATTTCAGAAGCCCCCTTCTCATAGTTGGCATCATCAGAACAGATAAGACAGGGATGGGGGAACTGGGAGAAAGGAATAGCGTCTTTACAGGAAGTAGGATGTGAGGATGTATAACTATGGGAGTCAGTGGGTTTGTAGTGTATATTGGTGGCCAGCCTATGCCCTGAAATGTAAACAGAGATGTTGAGAAAGGGAGGAGTTAGAGATGGACCAGGTGAACATGACAGCCGGATGAAAATTGGAATTGAAATAGATAAACTTTTCTAATTCCGGATGAGGGGGGGAAGCAGCATCAATGATGTCATTGATATACCAGAGAAAGTTGTGGGTGGGGGCCGGAGTAGGAACAGAACAAGGTTCCATGTACCCCACAAAGTGATGGCATAACTGAGGAAAATGCAGGTACCCATTGCCACCCCTTTGACCTGAAGTAGGCCAGAGGAGTTAAAAGAGGAGTTGTTCAGGGTTAGGGTGAGCTCACCCAGGCTGAGGAGGGTAGAGATTGATGGGGATGGCCCAGGCCTATTTTCCAGAAAGAAGCGGACAGCCCTGAGACCATCCAGGTGGGGATGACGTGTAAAGGGATTGCACGTACATGGTGAAGAGGAGGCAGCTGGAGCCCAACAATTGGAAATTCTAAAACCAACGTAAAACATCAGTGGGATAGTGGATGTAAGTGGGAAGGGACTGGACCAGGGGAGACAAAATCAAGTCAAGGTAGGCAGAGATGAGTTCTGGGTGCTGTGTTCAGGGTTAGGAACTGTGTAGAGTTCTGGGCAGAAGCAGGAAGAAACAATTGGTCTCCCCAGGCAGTCCTGTTTATGGACTTTGAGAATAAGGTAGAAGAGGGCAGTGCAGGCTTGGGAAACTGAGTTTGGAGGAGGAAGAAGGGAGATCACCAGATGAAATAAGGTTTGTGATCGTTATGGACATGTTCCATGGTGGGGTCATGGTCCAAGGGAGATAGGAGAAGGTATCTGAGAGGTGGCACTTAGCCTCTTCAATGTAGAGGTAAGTATGCAAGACAACAAAAACACCACCCTTGTCAGAAGGCTTAATTACAAACTCAGGGTTAGATTTGCAAGCATGGAGTGCAAACAGTTCAGAAGGAAACAGGAACAAAAACAGAAATTGCTGGAAAAGCTCAGCAAGTCTGGCAGCATCTGTGAAGAAAAATTAGAGTTAACGTTTCCGGCCTGGTTCTGAGGAAGGGTCACCGGATCTGAAACATTAAATCTGATATTTTCTTCACAGATGCTGCTGGACCTGCTGAACTTTTCCAGCAACTTCTGTTTTTCTTCCTGATTTACAGCATCCGCAGTTCTTTTGGTTTTTATTCAGAAGCAAACAGGAAACAAATGAGTGAGCAGACAGAGAAATTGAAGCGACCAATGTCATGTCAACAATTCTCAATGAACAGGTCAAGTGCAGGTAAAAGGCCAGAGGGAGGAGTCCAGGTGGAGGGAGAGTGTTGTAGGTGGGTGAAGGGGTCTGTCAGATGGGGAGAGGACTCCATGACTTGATGTTGGACTCTTCTTCCATCACCTTTGCCTCCATGCCATTTCAGCATGGTGGCTCAGTGCTTAGCACTGCTGCCTCACAGCACCAGGGACCTGGGTTTGATTCCAACCTCAGGTGACTGTCTGTGTGGAGTTTGCACTTCCTCCCTGTGTCTGCATGGGTTTCCTCCTGGTACTCTAGTTTCCTCTCACAGTCCAAAGATGTGCAAGTTAGGTGGATTGGCCATGCTAAATTCCCATAGAGTTCAGGGATGTGTAGGTTAGGTGCATTAGCCATGAGAAACATAGGGTTAGAGGGATGGGTCTGGGTGGAATGCTCTTTGAAGGGTTGGTGTGGACTTGTTGGCCTGAATGGCTTGTTCCTACAAGGCAAGGATCCTGTGATTTTGGAAAAGAAGAGCAAATTACTGCAGATGCCGGAATCTGTACTGACAACAAAAAACAAGAGTCTTCTCCCTGATTTCTGCTAACTACATGATGCAATAAATGTTTGTGTTTACAAGCCATATAAAGTACAGACATAAGAATGTGCAATTACAACAGGTGAAAATGTACCTTTCCTTTTGGACTTTTCTTGTTGGCAGGGTACATGAAGATGCCTCCATATTTTAATGTACGATGAACGTCTGCCACCATAGACCCTACATATCTTGAACTGTATGGAGCACTGCCATCCTGCACAAAGGAAAGATAATGTATGTGAATGCAGTTAGCCTAAAGAATAGTTAAATACTCTGCAAATTCAACTTCATTGTAAGCTCCGATCCTGCAAATGTTTCTCATTTATCACTAGAAGGCAATAGCTTTTCAGAAACCAGTTTCATGGATGCTGATCTCTCTGCAGCACCTCCTTCAAATGATCATCCTTAATTTATGAACTTAGATATTGAGATTGAGAACTTGTTCATTATGATTTATATTGAACTTTTAAAAACTGCGATACTGTTGGTGGAAAGAGAAACAGATATATTTTCTTCATAAACCCATTGGTTCAAGTATTGGCGTAAAACTGATATGAAATTAATGCAAGTAACTGAGCCAACAGGAAACCTCTGTGCAATCTTTTAGACGTAATGTGTTTTTCAGTCAAACATTGTGGAATGTGCAGGCAAGACAGAATTGGTCATGCTCTCTCAAGTTACTTGATCCTACCAATATTTTTTATTACATTTGAACAGAATTATGAGAATATATAAATTTTCAGGTGAACTGATCTGTGTTGAAAGAAAATTTCCATGTGATGGAAATTAATAAGCAAAGTATGCAAAATATTTAAAGCTCACAAATCCCCCATTTTTACGTGATCGGGTGATACATACAGCATCACACAGATTTTCACGTTATTTAACCAGTGTGAAAAAGGGAGCTAAATCCAGTGACTGGCAGTTTAGAAGTGCTGTCCAATTAATCCCATGCCCCTGCTTTCATTTCATGGTCCTAAAGATGTTTTCTTTTCAAATACATATACAATTCCCTTTTGAAATTTGCAGGTGAGTGGGTTTCCCCAACCCTTTAAGGTATTGTATTCAATTAGTAACATTACGAAAGAAGACCTCATCTTCCATCTGTTTCACAAGCGGTACAAGTTAACTAAATTTGAATTTCCTCACTAAAAATTATTCCGCTGATGTTCTACCACTTTTGATAACAGTAAGAAATTCTACATTGAGTGTTAAATACTTAATTGTGGAGGGTACTCAACCCTAGCTTGATTCTGTCCAAGCCGACTTTGAATAGCGTTTTTGTTGTGCAGTCCTGCACAGCTACTGCCTCTGCTGTTTGATTTCAAGTACCTCTGGACATCAGAGTTCATCTAAGAAAAATAAACAAGTAGCAAAATTCACAGCTGACCTTGGAGAAACCTGTAATGGCGAGCTCACAGCAGGGGAACAGCTAAGTGGCTGTTCTTTAAAAAATCTACAATAGTGAGTAGAGTGGGTTCTTTTTGATTATATGTTTTTATTGAGATCTGTCTCTTGATTAAACTTTAAAAGTATTACTAAGTTAACCTGGAGCAATGTTTTTTTAGAGTAGTGCTATTTCCTGGGTCTATAGACTACTAAGGTACAAAGATGGTCTTTAGTAGAGTCATGTGCTCTTCCTGTCAGATGTGGGAGATTAGGGAGAGTTTCCATGTTACTGATGATTGTGTCTGCAGGAAGTGTGCTTGGTTGCTAATCATTTGGATCGCATGGATCGGTTGGAGTGGCAGTTAGAGGCATTGAGGAAATTACAGGAGCTAGGGGTGTGATGGATGACAGTTGCAAGAAGGGAGATAAACTGAAGATACAGTCTGGTAGATAGATGACTTCCAGCAAACGTAGGAGAGGGAAGCAGGTAGTGCTGGAGTCTTCTGTGGTTTTCCCCATTTCAAACAAGTATGCTGTTTTGGAAAATGTAGTGGGTGATGGACTCTCAAGGGAATGTAGTACTGATAGGCAGATTTCTGGTACCAACTGGCCCTAACGTAATGAGGGGTATGTCAGGTTCCAAGCAGTCGATTGTGATAGAGGACTCTCTAGTCAGAGGCACAGACAGATGTTTCTGCAGCTAACAAGACATCAGAATGGTGTGTTGCCTCCCTGGTGCCAGGATCGAGGATATTTCGGAGAAGGTGCAGAATATTCTCAAAGGCAAGATGGACTGGCAGGAGGTTGTTGTACGCATTGGAAGTGATGATATATGAAGAGATAAAGGATGAGATTCTGAGAAGAGAATATAGGAAGTTTGGCAGGAATTTAAACAGGAGGTCCTTGAGGGTAGCAAATCTGGATTACTCCCAGTGCCGCAAGTGAGACAGGGTAGGAATAGGGAGATAGAGCAGATGAATGCGTGGCTGAGGAGCTAGTGCAGTGGCGAAGGATTCACATTTTGGATCATTGAAATCTCTTTTGTAGTAAAAGTGACCTGTATAAGAAGGACAGATTGCACCTAAAATGGAAGGGGACTAATATACTGGCGGGGAGAATTGCTAGAGCTTCTTGGGCGGATTTAAAGCAGTAAGTGGGGGGAACTCAGGGAGATAGTGTGAAAGAGGGCAGTCTGAGACTGACATATTTAGGAAAAGGGGCAAGCAGGAACAAAGCAGAGACTGAGCTAGGACTGCTAAATCAAACTGCATTTAGTTCAATGCAAAGGGCCTAACAGGTAAGGCAGATGACTAAAGGCATGGTTGGGAACATGGGACTGGGATATCATGGCAATTACAGAGATGTGGCTCAGGGATGGACAGAACTGGCAGCTTAAAGTTCCAGGGTATAGATGCTATATAGGATAGAAAAGGGAGCAAGAGAGGAGGGGGGACTAGCGTTTTTGATTAAGGATAACGTTACTGCTGTACTTAGGGAGGATATTTCAGGGAATACATCCAGGGAAGTTATTTGGGTGGAACTGAGTAATAAGAAAGCGATGCTCACCTTATTGGGATTGTATTATAAACACCCCCAATAGTCAGCAGGAAATTGTGAAACAAACTTGTAATGAGGTCTCTGTGAGAATAATAGGGTGGTTATGGTAAGGTATTTTAATTATCCAAATATAGACTGGGACTGCCGTAGAGTTAAGGGTTGGATGGAGTGGAATTTGTTAAGTGTGTACAAGAAAATTTTTTGATTCCATATGTGGATGTACCCATCAGAGAAGGTGCAAAACGTGACCTACTCCTGGGAAATAAGGCAGGATGGGTGACTGAGGAGTCAGTGGGGGTGCACTTTGGGTCCAGTGACCATAATTCTATTAGTTTTAAAATAGTGATGAAAAGGGATAGTAGGAACTGCAGATGCTGGAGAATCCGAGACAACAAGGTGCAGAGCTGGATGAACACAGCAGGCCAAGCAGCATCGTAGGAGCAGAAAGGCTGACGTTTCGGGCCTAGACCCTTCTTTCTTAGACCCTTCTTCAGAAAGAAGGGTCTTCTTTCTGATGAAGGGTCTAGGCCCGAAACGTCAGCCTTTCTGCTCCTATGATGCTGCTTGGCCTGCTGTGTTCATCCAGCTCTGCACCTTGTTGTCTCGATGAAAAAGGATTGACTGGATCTAAAAGTTAAAGTTCTAAATTGGAGGAGGGCCAATTTTGACAGTATTAGGGAAGAACTTTTGAAAGTTGATTGGGGGCAGTTGTTCGCAAGGAAAATGATGGCTGGAAAATGGGAAGCCTTCAAAAATGAGATAATGAGAGTCCAGAGACTGTATGGTTCTATTAGGGTGAAGGGCAAAGCTGATAGGTGTAGGGAATGCTGGATGACGAGAGAAATTGAGGTTATGGTCAAGAAAAAGAAGGAAGCATATGTCAGGTACAGACAGCAGGGATCGAGTGAATCCCTAGAAGAAGGCAATAGGAGAATATTAAGTGGTAAATCAGGAGGGCAAAAAGGGGACATGAAATAGCTTTAACAAATAGGGTTATTGAGAATCGAAAGGGATTCTACAGATACATTCAGGAAAAAAGGGTAATTAGGGAGATGATATTGCCTGCCCCTTAAAGATCAGCAATCACTGGAGAGGGTGGAGATACCAAACGAGTGTTTTGCATCAGTGTTTACTGCAGAGAATGATATGGAAAATACGAACATGGGGAAATAAATAGCAACATCATGAAAAATGTCCATATTACAGAAGAGGAAGTACTGGACATCTTAAAATGCATAAGGGTGGATAAATCCCCATGACCTGATCAGGTGTACCTAAGAACTCTGTGGGAAGCGAGGGAAGAGATTGCTGGGCTCCTTGCTGAGATATTTGTATCATCGACAGCCACAGGTGAGGTACTGGAAGACTGGAGGTTGACTAACATTGTGTCACTATTTAAGAAAGATGGTAAGGAAAAGCCAGGTATATATAGACTGGTGAGCCTGACATCAATGGTAGACAAGTTGTTGGAGGGAATCCTGAGAGGCAGGATTTACATGTATTTAAAAAGGCAATGACTGATGAGGGATAGTCAACATGGCTTTGTATGTGGGAAATAGTGTCTCACTGACTTGATTGAGTTTTTTGAAGAAGTAATGAAGAGATTGATGAGGGCAGAGCAGTGGATGTGATCTATATGGACTTCAGTAAGGTGTTCAACAAGGTTCCTCATTGTAGACTGGTTAGCAAAGTTAGATCACATGGAATACAGGGAGAACTAGCCATTTGGATACAGAACTGACTCATAGGTAGAAGACAGAGGGTGGTGGTAGAGGGTTGCTTTTCAGCCTGGACGCCTGTGACCAGTGGTGTGCTACAAGGATTGGTGCTGGCTCCACTGATTTTCATCATTTACATAAATGATTTTAATGTGAAAATAGGAGGTATGGTTAGTAAGTTTGTAGATGACAATGAAATTGGAGGTGCAATGGACAGCGAAGAAGATTACCTCAGAGTATACAGAATCTTGATCAGATGGGCCAATGGGCCAAGGAGTGGCAGATGGAGTTTAATTTAGATAAATGGAAAGGAAAATCAGGCAGGACTTATACACTTAATGGTAAGGTCCTGGGGAGTGTTGCTGAACCAAGAGACCCTGGAGCGCAGGTTCATAGCTCCTTGAAAGTGGAGTCACAGATAGATAGGATAGTGAAGAAGGTGTTTGGTGTGCTTACCTTTATTGCTCAGTGCATTGAGTATAGCAGTTGGGAGGTCATGTTGTTGCTATACAGGAGATTGATTAGACCACTTTTTGAGTACATTTCTGGT